AAAATTGGAGAAAAATGATGATGCATTCCAACTATGCAGGTTTTTCCACCTTTACCATATGTACCTTCCAACATGTCTAAAGATATAGAGCATTCCCAGGCATGAAAACTAATACACAGATAGAAGATCCTGGGCTATACTGAGAGCTGAGTAATAATATGACAATTCAAAATTAAGAGGTATAACAAGGTGCTGTCCACAAACAAGAGATTTCAGTGCATCTAATGAGAAGAGGCCACGGGAGATCTGGGTCCTGGTCTCCATTTGTACAGCTCACTGGGTGGCTTTGAGCCATTCACTCACTCTCAGCTTTAACCTACCTCACAGGGCTGTTGTTTGGAAGATAAAAATGGAGCTACATTAGCAACTTTGGGCTCCTCACAAGAGCGGGGGAAGGCAGCAATTTATTAATGCAATTTAATGTAACAACAAAGGCAAATGTGACTACAGTCAAGCATTCCTGTTTTTAGAAAACTTCTAAACCTCCACCTGTCACTGCAGTACGAATTGTAGCAAGTAATCCAAACAATGGAGCTTTAAAAGTGGAATGCCTTTTTATTCCTGTGTTATCACAGCCAGCCCCATTCACACATGCACGCACACACAGGAAGGAAAATGGTGTGCATGCCATAGGTGTCTCTCCATTGTCTAACTAAAGACAGGCAACCTAGTATAGTCCAAAACATTTGGTACACAACTCCCATAATCTCTGATCACTGGCCATGTTGGCTTTGGCTGAACACATAAGGGCATTAGGCTGCCTACTCCTGGTAGGAACGTTACACACATTGAGACAAAAAGCCTATACCTCTTAGCCAGCTGGGGATACTGGGATATTTTTTAGGATCTGTATCAAACCATGCACAGACTGTATCCTTACTTACTAAAAATAAATCCCTTGTAACTTATTCCAATGGGTGTCAGAAGAGCCTGAAGTTGCTGAATAGTAAAGAGAAAATACTGCATATAACCAGAGATTTTTCTTTATTACCACTTTATTACCACTTTCAGATGTTCTGAGAATCGACCCTGACATTGAATCTATGATTGCAGGAACCTGGCTCAGCTTATAAATTCAGTTTCTCATGCAGGGCAAAACAGGGAAGTAAAAAAAGAAGATGCATACCTCCTTGTATTGCCAATCCTCTCAAAGTAAGTGCACCATGTCATTGGCTTCTGTGCTTTTGCTTTAACTACCTTTAATCCTACAGGTCAAATGTTTAAATTATTAAACCTGTCACTGCTTGGACAAAATCTATCCTGGCAGGTAAAGTGAAGTGAAAGTTTACATCAAAGTTTAATCTTTGAAAACTACTACTCTAAGGGAAAACATTAGGTTTTGAAACTTTTTAAATTTCCTGTGTAAAAAAGAGTGTGCATATTTAAGATACTGTAGCCAGGACAATGCTACTTCTTCAGATCCTGGCTTTTTGTACAGTCAGGACACCACACACAATTCTCAGGAACCAGCAAAGTTTTCTGTCATTAGTATTTATTCTGCTTCTGTGGGAAAATGAATAAGATGGAGTTTTCAAGGTGCTGAATGGCTTCAAAACAGAACAAGCAAGAAATTGGATAGCAAAAATTCTCTTTACAAAAATCGAAGTCAACCACGGAATGAGAGGAAGGTGAAAATCAACCCCTTCCACACTGAAACAAGGTACTTCATACTTAAGATGATTACAGATGAAAGCCTAGACAGCTGGGCTACTGGCAGGCACTAAGCAATTGGAAGAGGGATATGCCAACTATCCAACTGTGAGCCATTTGCCATTTCAAAATGCTCTGCAAGGGTAGATCACAACACCAACAAAGCAGAAGCATAAAGTGAGAAAGGGTTTAAAGTCTGTTAGGGGCAAGGCTATGAAGGTTTACAAAGAAAGAGTCATGCATGGCTGGCTAGGGAATGTCGAAATTTGTATGACTTTTTTGTATTGAACCATGCGTAAGGTTGCAGTCATAATGTCATCAGGATGAAGATAGAAGAACAATTAACAGGGAGGATTCTGTCTGCCAGCTCTACTCTGCCAATGATTCCCTCATTCACAGACTAGCGAAAAGGTTAGGTTGCAATATTTGCATAGGAGAATCAGTGAGTGGAAGAATATTCAGCACTTTCTTTCAACCACTAATTTTATTTGTAAATACTTCATTCAGATTGATGAGGTGAAGCTTTGAGAAACAGGGCTGATAACCCCAATGTTGCTCCTCAATGTGCTATTTCACCTACAGCAGTGCCTACATATGCTTTCCTTTGATTTAAAGCAGGGGTCTCAAACTCGCAGCCCGTGGGCCAATTGCGGCCCGTGGGACGATATTTTGTGGCCCCCCACTTGATATCAAAGTTTAGTGATAGTGCGCCCTGCGTGTTTTTCTCACACGCACCTGCGTGAGTCGTTACCCTGGGCGCAATGTTCCCTCTAAGCTGCGCGCCGGGACGGGCGGGGCATGGCGGAGGGGCCCTGTGGCCTTCAAAGCGCTGGTGGCGCCCGGGCCGGCCTCCGGGAGCGAAGCAGGATGAGCGGCGGTGGGCAGTGGGCATCCTGTGTCGCTTCCAGAGGCCGGCCCGGGTGCCGCCGGAGCTTTGAAGGCAACAGGGCCCCTCCGCCATGCCCCGCCCGTCCCGGCGTGCAGCTTAGAGGGAACATTGCCTGGGCGTTTTATATTTTTTGTCACCTGTGGGCTACCATAGCTCAGGATTGTGACAGCAATGCAAATTAACAACGTTAGTCACTTGAAACGTGATTCGGGAGTGTCACCAAGTGAAGGAAAAATATATCCTGTCACCCAGTGCAAATACATTTTTTTGGTCACCCAGCCCCCAGTCACGTCTTTCTCAAAACCTGCCGTGAAGAGAAAGGTTGGCGATGAGCAAAGACAATTTCAGGAGAAGTGGGAGATGGAATATTTTTTTGTTGAGCACAGGGGCATCCCAACATGTCTTATATGCACAGAGAAAGTTGCGGTGCACAAGGAGTACATCAGACGTCATTACTCAACTAGACATGCTGAGAAGTATGCAAAATACCAGGGAGATGAGAGAGAGGACCGTGTCGCCAAACTTAAAACATGTCTACTGAAGCAACAAGATTTTTTCAAGAAAGCAAGCAAAGAGATTGATACAGCAGTCAAAGCCAGCTACGTAGTGAGTGAGATGATTGCTAAGGCAGGAAAGCCATTTAAAGACGGCAAGTTCAACAAAAAGTGCATGTTACAGGCTGCAAGTATAGTCTGTCCGGAAAAAAAAGGTCAGTTTAGCAACATCAGCTTCTCAGCCAACACAGTGGCAGAGCACATTTCTGACCTGTCAGGTAACATTTACGATCAACTGCATGAGAAAGCTAAACATTTTCATGCATACTCAGTCGCTCTTGATGAGAGCACAGACGTCACTGACACTGTGCAGCTCGCAATATATGTTCGTGGTGTTGATGACAATTTTGAAGTGGTGGAGGAGTTACTCACACTGATTCCAATGCATGGCCAGACCACCGCTCAGGAGCTATTCCACCAGCTGTGTGATGCCATTGCAGATGCCGGCTTACTATGGAAGAGTTTTGCTGGAATAACTGACGGAGCACCATCAATGACAGTGAGGAGAAATGAAGTCGTGGCACTTGTTCAAAGAAAATTGGAAGAAGAGGCCATTGCTCCGCACTGCATTATCCATCAGCAGGCCCTTTGCAGCAAATGCCTGAAGTTTGACAATGTGATGTCTGACGTTGTGAAATGCATCAACCATATCAGATCCAGGGGCTTAAAGCACTGGCAGTTCCACGCCTTTTTAGAGGAAATAGAGTCAGCATATGAGGATGTGCTCTACTACACCGAGGTACATTGGCTTAGCAGGGGAAACGTCTTGAAGAGGTTTTTTGAGTTGAGAGCAGAGGTGGAAACCTTCATGGAGAAAGACGGGATGGCTGTTCCTGTACTAAGTGATCCCAAATGGCTCATGGACTTAGCTTTTCTTGTTGACATCACACAGGAGCTGAATGTACTGAACAAAAAATTACAAAGCCAGGGGCAGCTTGTCAATGCTGCCTATGACAATGTCAGACCATTCTCCACAAAACTTGTGTTATGGAAAGCCCAGCTTTCTCAGACAAACCTCTGCCATTTCCCAGCATGCAAGGCACTCATGGATTCTGGCACACCATTCAGAGGTGAGAAATATACTGATGCCACTGTAAAGCTACAGGAAGAATTTGATCACAGGTTTGCAGATTTTAAGACACACAGAGCCACTTTTCAAATTTTTGCTGACCCCTTCTCCTTCGATGTGGAAGATGCCCCCCCCCCCCCCCCCGGCCCGTGCTTCAAATGGAGCTAATTGACCTGCAGTGCAATTCTGAACTCAAAGTCAAGTTCAGGGAGGTGAGTGGAAAAGCAAACAAGCTTGGACAATTTTTGACAGAACTGCCCCTTACCTTCCCTGAGCTTTCCAGGATGTTCAAGCGGACCATGTGCCTTTTCGGGACCACCTATCTGTGTGAAAAGCTGTTCTCCACCATGAACTTTAATAAGTCAAAGTTCAGGTCCCAACTTACTGATGAGCATCTTCAAGCCATACTGAGGGTCTCAGTTGCTTCTTCCCTCAAGCCAAATGTGTTGTAAGCCGCCCCGAGGCTTCGGCAAGGAGCGGCATAGAAATGTTGTTATAATAATAATAATAATAATAATAATAATAATAATAATAATAATAAAAAATGTGGCTCAGCCGTGTAAGAGGAAGCACTGTCAGGTCTCTGGCAGCAAGGGGTAGGAGGAAGTAAGAGAAGCCTATGTTCTGAAGAACCGTTCATGTTCTGAATTACTATTAGTAATTGAGAAGATTGGATCAGTTGTACTTTTTTTGGAATACTTGAAATCCATTTTTTGTGGAATACTTGATGCGGCCCAGCCTCACCCAGACTCTACTTCCAGCGGTCCCCAGGTAAGTTGAGTTTGAGACCCCTGATTTAAAGGAATGAATTACACCAACAGATATTGAGACAACTCACATTTAACAGGTACAGTCAGAGCTGAGATTCTCACTATAAGTTTCAGTAGAAGGCAGGACCCCAACTCTACTTCCTCTTCCCCGCCATATGTCTTTATGGGCACCTGCAGTGTTAAGCATACAAATATCTCTAGGCACTGTTGAAAAATAAGCCGTGTAACTTTAGGCGTATACTAACACTATTAGGGTATTATATGGACAATCTCAATGGTTGTTAAGAATAGGCTGCATAAGAGATCAGCAGTATTGAAGTGGGTTAAATTACCATAATAAAATAAAAGACAAATGGAAGGAAGGTACAATATATGCCCCCCACAAAAAATAAAAAACTAGGAGAGAACTGAAAAATATGCAATACTTTTTAGTGCACTTTACACATCTAAAGTAACTTTCTTACTTTAGGAATATAAAGTGCATAATGTATAAATTGGTTTGCTCATAACTAACTTAACCATTAAAATAAAAATAAAAACTCACTGAAGTTGTAATATTGTCTGAATATATTTAATAAACAACCATGACAATATTATAAAATATAGGAACACCTTTCTTAAATGCTGTATTCAAAATTCAAAAAGAAAATATTCCACAGTCCAAAATTATCCTTTTTCCTCCTCAGCCTATATAACTACAGTTAACTACCATAAATAAAAGTTTTGGAAGCAGTTTTCTAGGCAAAGTAGATAAATGGTTTCCTAGTCCTAGCACTGTTAATTTAGAAACTAAGGACAGGTTACAAATCTGCTTCTAAACTTTGAAAGATGTAGCCGAGTCTAATTTTTCTTGCAGCAGCTTCACACAACTGTGACATTTTAACATTTTATCCTATGTTCCCACAAACTAGTTATATACATAAACCAGTTAGCAGAATCAAAAGTATTTCTCTCATCCCAGATCCATCATTTGTACATCTGCCACAATATAATGTACTCTGATTACCAGCAGTACTCCAGGGTTTTTCCCATAACCTAATATCCTTTTAACTTGAGATGGGAAGAGTTGAACCTGGGATCTTATGAAAAACACGTGCAATGCCACTAGGCTGCAATCCCTCCCACAGGCACATGTGCCTGTATAATATAGACAAACAGACAAGGCACAGAAGAAATCATGCCAAATGGGCCAGAAAACATTACAAAACAATAAACTAAAGCAACTAATTTAAGAGAATGGCACATAGCAACAGCTTTGAAAAAGAAGTTATTCATCCAGGAGTAAAAATGATAAGTATCGGAGTTAACAATCCCAGAGATCAAGCTTACTATTTTTATGCCATCCTTCAATGAATCCCCACAGTACTGAGTAAGCTCTCGGCCCCGCATAAATGGCCCCACCAGCACTTCCCCCAACAGTGTCGCCACCGGTTCTTGCAATTCCCATCTTCTCACGTGTACTTAACAAAAATACAGGGCGATAAAATACAGAGCTTTTAAATGCACAATACAAATAACCATATTCTCCAACTCCTCTCCGATGTTTCTGCAGTCAATAATGGATCATCTGCACACGCTAAACCCAGGACAACTTCTGCCTTGCCCCTTTTTTCGGCTTCGAAGAGTTCCTTTTAAAGCGCAGGCGAATAATAGGCCTTGCCCTCAGAGTTCATCGACAGAGGCCGCTTCAGCACAAGGACGGGCTGTCCATTCTCGTCCTCCATCTGCCTCCCTAATTAACAACGGCGGCGGATTCTCACAACCAAAGTCGGCTAACCCATTTCCACATCTTACCCGCTCTCTTCGTTTTTCCCTCGCCCCTTCCCGCCCGCCCTCACGGTTAACTGCCCCCGTAACTTACCCACTTCACCACAGACAGTGCAAGCACGGACCAGCCCGGTGCGCATGCGCGCGTTGCGAGGAGGGGAGGAAATGAAACGTCAGTGCGTGGCGCGCGCGCGTTGCGTCGAGGCGGACTCTATCCAGTCAGATGAGGAGGACAGCGGAGAGGGCGGAGTCATGGAAGGAAGGATTGGCAGGGGCAGGTTTGTACGTTCTAGAGTTGGCGTTCATGAGGGCTAGGGTCTTGTGGGACGGGAAATTGCTTTAGTAGCGTAGGGAACGCGGGTTGTGGTGACGTCTTTGCAGCTCTTCGTTTTTGTTTCTTGACGCTGAGTAGTTTCCCCGTTTAAAAATGTCTCTGTGGTTTGTATAAGGCCTAGATATTAGAACGTTTGTGTTATTACGGATCGTGTTTAAGTGGTATGATTTAAGCAACGGTGGAGGATGCTTTAGTTTCTCTTTCCAAATATTCTGAAAAGCACGATTTTAGGTACTTTGAGGTACAGGGAATCTGTAATCTTATGCAGCTTACTTGGGAAGTACTGATCATTTGTGTGGCTTTTTACTTAAGTGCAGGCGCCTTAACATGCACTTGTTAAGAAGTGCACCTTCTTTCACCCACGGCTCTAGAAATGTGCTTCTCCGGGTATGTCTTTTAACTTAATGCAGCCCGGCTTCAGATATTTCGTAAAGGGAGCGGGTGCAAGAAGATCACTAAGGGAAGGGGACAACAGAGAGGCGCAGTAAGGAAGAGTGAAGTTACACCGAACTATAGTGCTGTGTGCCTGAGCAAGCGTGGTTCCAGTCAGACTTATTGAACAGGAAAAGGATGAAGTAGTAAAGGTTAAAGGAAAAAAGAGTGATGGACTGGGAAAAGAAGAGGCATAGGAAAGAAATAATAGATCAGGAGGCAGTGAAAAGGTGGCATGAAAAATCTAGCATTTCTTGTGTTATAAGCGTTCATGTAGTGCCGTCCAGTTGATCCCCAATAATAAATGCATTAGGATGTAATCCTGCATGTTTGATAGAGTTGTTACAAGGTTGGACCAGGGCTTGGGAGATCTTGTCTCTACTAGTCATTGAAGCTCATTGCATGTATTTTATTTTCTTTATATCCCACTTTTTTCCTTTTTGAGAAACCCAAGCTGGGTTCCATAACTTCCATTTTATTCTCACAACAGGAATCCTGTGAGGTAGCTTAAACTGAGAGTAATAAGATAGTGTGGTATGATGGTTGGAGTGTTGACTGGGGACTTGGGTTCCAATCCCCACTCAGCCATGAAACTCACTAGGTGACTTTGGGCCAGTCACTCAGTCTTAGGCTAACCTACTCCACAGGGCTGTTAGAATACAATGGAAAGTAAGGAGATTATGAAGGCTTCCATAAGCTCCTTGCAAGGAAAAAGGCAAGATATAAATAAATTGAAATGAAGACTAGTCAGAAAAAAAGCTCTACAGTTCCCAGCATTCCCCAGCCATAGGTGTGGGATTGCATTCTTAAGTGTTTATTTAAAATGTACAAAGATGGAGACAAACATATCAGTCTGGAGAGGTTCATAATCTGTGGACCACAATCTAAAAGCCTTTCTCTTGTCTACTGACTAAACATCTACTAGCTTGGGTTTGCAAGAATCCCTTTAGAAATAGAGTTATCTTCCTGGACGAGGTTCATGTTGGAAATGATCCTTGAGATATCTCAGTCCCAGATCATTTATGGCCGCAAGTTTTAACTTATTCTACTGCCACCCACCAAGAATGCAACTTTATTGTCAAATGTCCTGTAAGTCAAATCTTTTTTTTTAAAGAGGACATAACCACAGCACTCACATAAGGCCATTTTTTCTGCTACATTATGTATGCTTATAATATTTATAATACACGCAATAAAAGTGTCTCATTCAGTGAAAGTGTCTCATTCAGTGAGACACTTTTCCCTGATTGGCATCAGTCAACCCCTTAATATGATAGGTTTCTCTGAAACTGATTAGTTAGCAGTGAAGTTGTCACAGAACTTGAATAGTACTGTATATAATAGTATAGTACTGTTTGTTGAGTCTGAGCCCAGATATCTCAATTGCATTAAGAAAAGTTTACATTTGGTTCCTAGATCTCTAACAATTGTATTTTCATTATCAGGAAACTCAGAAACATATAGAATGAACTTTAAATGCTGACCTCATGGCAAGCCCTGCTTAGTTCAGTAAGGCTTAATTCAGAATAGAACTGTATTGCTTGACTCTAGGAACTGAATTCTGGAATATGAAGAGAGTTACAGAGTAAAGCTGGCCTGTATACAGGGTGGGCACTTAGACATCATGCCACAGAATAAAATGTTGTGATCACTGTTAATCCTATTCCATGAAATCCATTGAAATGAATGGAACTTAGATTAATATTCAAGGTAATCAATTTGATGCAACTTGAATTGTCAAGAAAAAATATGGAAGGAAGGGAAAGAGGATATGGATTTGCTTAAAATCTGTTTCTTATATATGAAGAAATTTATATAGAAATGCTTTGCATCTTACAGCAGTGGGAAAGGCTGTGACCAGAGACCTTGTGTTGTGTTGTTTCTGCTGCCTGGGTACAAACTGTTGATGGGCTGCTTCAAGGTCCCCCCCACCCCACCCTCAGTTCTTTATCTTTTTAAACTGGACTTAGACATGGTATCTCTTCAAATAGAGGACTGGTAGGCTTGTTACACACTTGAATCAGGGTAAACTGCAAGCATATTGATACAGATGTGCTCTTCCATTATACATAGCATTTCTTTCCTAGAAGTTGGAATGTTGAGCCCCATTGCCTTCTGAGAAGTAAAGCCAATTTTTGTGGAACTCTTTGAGAGGTAAGTTTGTATAGTGTTACAGCCATAAGCTGTGTTTTGTTTTTTTTAAGAAAGCCAGAAATGTCATCGGAAGCCAGGAGTTCCATTAGAAATGTCACACTCACCTGCTTGGATCGGGGATGATAAAAGCCAGTAAGATCTTTGATCTAAGGAAAAGTGTGTGTGCCAGGAAAAGAAATAGATGAAGAAAGCAGTCCTTAATGTTTGGACCTGTCTAGCAGAACTCATATTTGGAGCCTCAAGCATAGCATTTTTTTTCTTTTGATCAAAGGTGTAGTATTCTGGACCTGATTTCTGATTAGTTTTGGTAGCATGGCTAATATAGTGGCTTGTATCACATTGCTTGAACTGGGAGTGTTCTAACAGTTTTCTTCCTAACAGCATCCTCACATCATGGTAAATTGACTTACACATTTTGCGAAAGTAGTCCATATTGGGTGCTGCTCTTAAACGTGCCCATGTGAGCCAGGCTTCATTTACTCTCTGGACTGTAATCTTATTTGCCAGAATTAAATAAATAAACTGATTGCTTTACAGAGTTAGGTTCTGTTAATTTATTTATATTATTCTATAATATTCTATTTTTCATGTATCATTGACTGGCATATTTCCATATAACAGAGCAAGCGCTGCTTCACTATAACTGAGGTTAATATTAATATACCTTAAATAAATAAGTAATATTATAAATTTCTGTTTAGTGATATGGATTTCCCAGAAGAAATTAAATTAGTAATTTTCCTATGTAAGTTATGTTAATGTTAATTTGCATGGGGAAATTTCATTATATAACCCTCCTCTGACTATTTCATTGTGCAAATAGGTTAGTTTGTATAGAGTGATTTGCATGAGGAAATTTGCAGTTTGCATAGTAAAATTTTCTGATCCTGTAGAAAGTGATCTAATTTAGCATTCTTATTTGATCTGTATTTAGTAGCCAACAAAGGTTAAAAAATACTTTGTATTAATGTTTTATTCTTATATGCCACAAAATATTTCAGCTGCAATATATGGTGATACACATTTTATATCCTGTACATTTGTTCAATTGGAATGATTGTAAACATTTAAAGACAATAACACACACTTCCTTTTTGTTGTTTAAATGTAAGGGTTGGGAAATTTAAGCAAGGAGGATCACAAAAAGTACTGAGAAGTTTCGCAACTTTTATCAATTTTAGCAGACCATACCCATCTATTACTTTGAAACTGCCAAATGTATCTAATATTGTATTTGCAGTTACCATCCATTCATTGTTGCTCATGTACTTATGAAGTAGTAGTTTTTCCTGGAATGAAGCTCTGAAAAGATTTTCACCCCGCATCTCTGCTTTACAATTATAGTTATAAGTCTTAAAGCACTTGTTCTTTTGTAAGAGTGCTATATTGATTAGCAGCCCACTAACATATGGGCTGCTAATCAATTCCAATCTATGGAATGCGCTCCCCAGAGAGATCTGCCTGGTGCCGTCGTTATATGTTTTTCGGCACCAGGACAAGACCTTTTTATTTAAATGGCATTTTAATTGTTAGCTTATTTATTGATTTTATATCTTTGGCCAGGGCGTTTCCAATTATATTGTTTTTATATGATTATATGTATTTATTTATTGTTGTAAGCTGCCCCGAGGCTTCGGTGAATGGGGCAGCATAGAAGTTTACTAAATAAATAATAAAATAAATAATAAATAAATAACAAATAGCATAACATTTTTAGTGTATGTCACTTGTGTGTTTTTTTCTTCTTCTGTGGTGCAGTCTCACTGGATGCTAAGATGTTTCCGTTAAAGGATGCAGAGCTAGGAGCTTTTACCTTCTTTGCTTCAGCTCTTCCAAATGACGTTTGTGGAAGCAATGGCCTGCCTCTGACGCCAAACTCCATAAAGATCCTTGGGTGCTTTCAGATTCTTAAAACAATTACACATCCTAGGCTTTGCCAATATGTGGACATATCTCGTGGAAAACATGGTGAGTGTGTTATTCTACTCTTCCACTTCTCCCCTAGGAACTGTAGGGTATGTTAGGAAGAGAGATCCAGCAATTATTTTGTGCATGTGATTCAGGGCATTGCAGGTGTCAAAGACTACAGCATTTTCCCAACACCATGCAGCAGCTTGCTTTTCAACAGAGAAAAACTCTGTAGCAATGTTTTCGGTCTTTACCCACATGTGGTATGTGCTCCCCCACCCCCTCTTCTGCTTTTTCTTTTTACTTCAACCTTACAGGATTCCTTCAGTCTTTTTGCTTCATAAGTTCCTGTAATTCATCAATCTGTCTTGTTCTTTCCTTAATTTCTTAAATCCATCTTTTGATGTTTGAAGTTTAAAAGACATGTGCTTCACAGAAGGCAGCCTCAACAATTCTCTTACAGCTTTTAAATTTTGGAAGTCATCAGTGAGGCATATATTGTGATGAAGGATAACACCTCTTAACCCACCAAATGCTGCATTCCTGAGTAACTTCATTGTCGGGTGCGTCTTTTTCACTGTCACATGGAAGTTAAAGTTATGATGTCCATTGTTTGCCATGTATATATATTATGTTATATGCCATCAAGTCATCTCTGACATGACAATCCTGTGAATGAATGCCCTCCAAAACATCTTGTCTGTGACATTTTTTTAGCGTAGTATTTTTTTCATCCTTTCCATTCAATAACACAAGTAAAATTATTCCTTGTTTTAAAAAGTCACTATCATGAACTGATTTCTACACCATAATGAGGCCATTATGGTGTTCACTGTTACACTCCTGTTTTCTGAGTGCAGGACACGTTCATATAATAGATTTCTTTATTTCCCTGTTAATTTCTGTTGTTTGTGTTTTCTGTTTGTACAAGAAAAAAATCTTTAAAATATTGATACATGCATGATGCAGTTAGATCTGATACATGCATTTCTACTATGGACAATGTCAGGAGTAGAGATCAGAGACCTCAAATCCAGACATGGCTAGTTGCAAGTATAACATGGTCTCATCAATTAAATGCATCTGTAGAACCAAGCAGTTTGTCACTACTTCATTATAACTAATTTGCTTTTGAATAGTACTACAGTGTGACGAAGGACCAAACTGGAATGTTATCCATGCAATTAACAATAACTTGAATTGCTTTTATGAGTACATTTTAGTCTATGTTGGGGAGGCATTTAATCCTGTACCCCTGTGTTCCAATTATGTGCTGTATGCCCGCTGTTTTCCTGCTACTGGAGTGAATGTGAGTTTTTCTACAATGCACATACTATTTGCTGGAAATACAATCTAGGTCAAGTCAGGCCTGCATTGTTAAAACTCCCCTATGCCTCGCACCAGGATTCCAGTTCTTGCCTGCCTTTAATTTACTTTTTAAAAGCTATTTGCACAATTATTGCTAATTGTTGGAATCATATCATTAGTCTGTGGGTGCAAGTCAATAAGAGCAGGGACATTAAAAAAAAGTAGCTAGATACCAGGAATTCATTATAGCTTTCCTAGAATCTATTCTTAGATTCTGAGAAAGCAAGGAGAGGTATGTCTTGGAGTGGGCTCAAGTCTGCCTGCTTCAAGCATGTGCGAGTGAGACAAAAGAAAATTACTTGCAGTTGGGAAGAATGCCAGTGTGGGCAAGTTGGAGACCATTTGACAGCACCTAACCATAGAGTGAACTGAAGGGGGCTAACAGTAAGGAGGGGCCATAGATGTCCACAGCATTGTATTTTTCTGGTATCATGAATTGACTATGAAATAAGCCATTTTAGAGTTGCAACAGTAAATAAGCTAGCTAGCATATAATTAAAGATTCTTATATCTTTGTAAGGCAGAAGAGCTGGACATGCACATGGTAGGCATGTCATGAGTGCAGCTGGCTGGAGCTGGGGGTCAGACTAGATAGCCCAGGAGGTCCCTTCTGATTCACTGTGTTTCTATATGGACATACTGGAAAAGCTTCAGAGGAGGGCAAAAAGATGACCAGGGGACAAAGCTGTGTAAGGAGAGACTGAAAGAACTGGGCATGTTTTGTATAGAGAAGAGAAAACTGAGGGAAAATAAGATAGCAGTTTTCAGTACTTGAAAGGCTGTCCCACAGAAGAGGGCCGGCATCTCTTCTTAGTCATCCCAGAGTGCAGGACAATTTACAGGAAGGTCAATTTACAGGAAGCCAGATTCTGGCTGGACATCAGAAAAATTTTCCTCACTGTCAGAGCAGTACAACAATGAAACCAATTGCCTAGTGAGGTCATGGGCTCTCACACATTGAAGGCATTCGAGAGGCAGGTGGACAGCCATCTGCCAGGGATTCTTTATCTTGGAATCCTACACTGAGCAGGGAGTTGGACATGATGGCCTTATAGGCTTCTTCCAGCTCTGTTTTTCTGTGAACAAGGTCTCCTATTACCGGTTGATCCCACATTTCCTATAGGATGCCTCTGTTTTTCATCCCTCAAATATATTAGCCAGTTCCCACACTCAGGTGACATCCCTGAGTGTAGCTATAGCTTGCCTATAGGCAAAGAGTTTGGCATATGTTCTTATGGGGAAAAATAAAGTGCTATGCTTAGATACTGTTGTGGTGAGTGAGGACGTGGGGAGATCCTTCAAGGCATTGCACATTGTGACCTTGTATGGCACAGTAATGTGCAAAGCCTTGAAATACAGCTTGCCTATTATACAGAGTAGCATATTGCTTAATATCTGTATTACGGCTGCTGAGGTATACACTGCCACCCAGAAAGCCTCAGCTATTGGGCAGTATAGAAAATAGATAACTGAGTAAATCTTAATTGTTCTAATTGCTGTTTGCCTGTACTGTACTCCATCCTCCTTAAAGCTCTGATGGTAGATATTGTATGTGGTCTGTCCCTTAAGAATGTTGTGTTGATATATATCGGGTTAGAGCAGAAGTCAGGTTTTTCCTGTTTTCTGTATACTATTTAAAACTGATTCAAGATGACTGAGCTTCCTTGGTATCTTGGCATAGGTTGCTGAAAAGAAAAAATAACCATTACACCTGGGATTAGTTTTGTTACTTAAAAAGAAGCGTATATCTGCGCATCTCTCTCTCTCTCTCTCTCTCTCTCTCTCTCTCTCTCTCTCTCTCTCTGTGTGTGTGTGTGTGTGTGTGTGTGTGTGTGTGTGTGTGTGTGGAGGGGGAAGAGAGAGAGAACATGTTAAATTAGTTTTGGCTGTATAACTAAACATTATGTCTGGCAAAAGTAGAATGCAGCAAATAGGCACTTTTAAAGTTTCTTTTTAATGGAACAGGGTTGTGTGAAGGATGCCAGCTATGCACACTCAGTGTGTATACCTGCATGATGTTTTTGTTTAATAATAGAGCTATATAAAAACTTGCAGTATTCACTGTATTACATTCATTTTGTTATGAATCGAGTCACCAGCAAATACTGTGCTATGATATACTTGCAGTACTACTCCCAGGTATGGGAATATTTGGTAGCCACAAGTAGGATGAGCAGACTAACTGTTCTCAAAGTGATCCAAACAGATCAGTTGTCAGAATCAAAAGGACAGATGACACTTCTGTCAGAGGGAAGTTGCCAAATTAGAGAGGAGAAAATAGGCATCCTGCTGTTTTTTAGTCCTTTGCTGAATTGCTGTTGCTCTATGATCGGTATCATAATGCTGATTATTTGTGACAATATAGTTTGTTTTAATTATTCAAACAATTTAAATACAATTTTAGTATTTTATCATATTTTTAAATGTTTCTTTTTCTAAGGCTGTAATTTTGTGGTCCTTGAGAGATTGTTTCAGTGGTCACTGGATTTAGTGCAGAGGTGGACAACATATGTATGGCCCTCAAAATACTTTTTGCCTACAGCTCCTATCAGTTCTAGCCAACATAGTCAATGGTGAAGGATCATGGGAGTTGTAGGCCAACCCCCCCCCCAAAAAAAAAAACTGGAAGGCCACAAGTTGGCCACTTGTGGTTTAGTGGAACTCACTACTCACTCTATCTAGTGGATAGCTATAGTATTTAATGGAATGCTTTCCTTGCCCAGAGTAAGGGATGTCTGTGAACAGAGGAGGATTCTTGCCTTCAGATTGCTCTGTATAATCATTGGAAAGTCTCCCCATGTTACTTCTCTGTCATCTTGAAAACAGTTGTAGAATGAAGCATTCTGAGAGTGGATTGGGGCATTCCCCCAAAGCATACCTGAGATGCAGGAAAAGCTATGCTAATCCTGGTATACTTCTCCCCTTTGGTTCCTTGTGGGAGAAAGTAAGTCAAAGTGGCAGGAATAGGAAAGGCTAGAAACAAGGAGAAATGGGATTTCCACACACATGCCTTCTGCTCTGTCAGCATCTGGTTTGTGCTGTACATATTGTCCCTGCTCCACTGCCATTAGTATGGTTTGTATACCGATTGCCTTCTTTGAGACAAAATGAGAGCTGTACAGTTTTTAAAACTATTAATGAAGGTCGAGGAGAATGAGCCAGTTTGTACAATCAAGCTACCATAGCTTAAAGAGCCCACCATGGTTCATTAGGAATAGGCCATGGGTTGAGGGTTGTTTCCCCTGCAAACATGCCTTGCTGCTCAAATTTCAGCAAGTCTGCCAGCTGCAGTCAGGCATGTGATTAGGCTAAGTGGTGTTGGGCACACACTGCTGATGGTTTTGATCATGTGAGCCGGGGCAGTGCCTTTTAATTTACTTCCTTCCATAGTAATAAATGTTCCTGTTCAAATAAAGCATCTCCAGTTTTAATGACTTGCAGCAAAATCTAGTCACCCTTGTGGAAGACACTCAAGGCTTATGAGCATCTAATGCTAGGTGTAACAGTGGTGGTCTCCACTCTGTCTTATGCCTCGCATTGCATTCACATGACTGGTTTTTGCCATATAAATATAGGGCCAGGGAGAAGAGGAAGTGCAATTGGAATTGGTGCAACTGTACAGCCCAAACCTCTTCCCTTTCCTGATTCTCTGGCAGGTCTCTTTCCTCCCCCCAAAATAAGACTGATTGAGCCCTTAGGGAGTAGGCAGCTGGTGCAGTTCATTCCACCCTGGCTGAAAGGAGATAGGGCAGAGACTTAGACTTTGTAATGTTCCGTGGTCTCTCAAACAATGTCAGGAGACCATGGGATTGCACTCTTAAGAAAAGAAATGGAAATAACCCGCAATTTATCTGCATGTATCAATTGCAACCTAATGAATTTGCATAGCTTAATGTTACTCTATCTCCCTTTAAAATATTACTGTTGCAGTTTGGTCTAATTTCTTACCTTCCATGTCTCCCACTAATAAACATTTGTAAAGGTTGTTATACAATTTGGAGATTGAAGAAGTTGCCAGTGCGGAATCATTTTCTAATATAGATCCAAAAACATCAAGAATATTGAAAATAATGACCATAAAAAAATTTAAGACTTTAAAAATGTCTTAAAATGGGATTTTATATATTCAAATATGTTTGAGATTACCTTAACATTTCCCCCATAGTACTAGAAATGTTAAAGTAACATGAGCAAAATATATCATATGCTAAAACTACTTCAAAATGCGTTAGTTGAAAATAACTGCTATGTAGGGGTTAATTCAGTTATATTTACCATGATTTTAGATTTTACTAAAACAAATAGACACCCTCTTTGTATAATGAGATGCAGCGTGATAATAATATGGCTTTAATTTCAGCAGAATATAAAAGTGAAAGTGCTTGGTGCCTGTGTCTACTGAGATGCTAAATCTGTCTCTGTATGTGTGTATAATTTTCATCAGAGAGGCTGGTGGTGGTTGCTGAACATTGTAGAAGGAGCCTGGAAGATTTGCTTCGAGACAGGAAACCAGTGAGGTATGGTATCAAGCAGAACATTGAAAGGGAACATGCTAACTGAAAGGTTTATCTGCTTTAAGTGACACAGTCCAGATACACTTTTTCTTTTAAAATGTTAACTGCCTTCACAGGTCTATACAGATCTAAAACTGACATCTTCCAGTATCACTTTATTCTTCTGGCAGCCAGATAAACACATGCTTAGGACGAGGTATATACTTACTTCTGCACAAAAGTTTAAGGTTTTATGATGAAGGTACGGAAAGGTGCCAACTGTTTCTCCCAGTATATCTTGTGTGTGTGTTTTAAATTATGCTTCAGATATTATTTTCTGTCTTTTTTAAAGAATCTTGTACTCCACTCCCCTCAAAAGGTATGGCAGATGTGTGTATATAAATAGGATCCCACTGCTTTCATGTTTGTTATGTAGAATATTAAGCTTCTAAATGATAGGTGGTCATTTTGTTTATGAAAAACAATTGTGCGTGTACATATAGCTACAATTTTGCTGTAGTTTTTAAATTAATGGGATGGGTTTGTGATAAAAATGATAACTGAATTCAAGGTTAGTATATCTTTTGCTTTTATAAGAACAGAAGACTATAAGAAAAGCCATGCTGGATCAGATAAAAGGTCCATCTAGTCCACCATTACATGCATTCTGGCCGGCTGAGGGGCTCAGATGTAACAATGGGCTGTGCAGACTGTGGGAGACCCCTTCCTGTTTCTGGCTTTCGGCTGCCCCGAGTTTATCAAATTCAAGTTAAAGCAATATCCCTGTCAATGTGATCCACCTGCCTGAAATGATGGATGGATAGAAAAGGAACCATGCCATTCAGACCTTCAGATGAAGCTATGAGTAGAGCCCCCTTATATATTTCTGTATCACCTTTTATTTTGCAAACATTATGCATAATTTGTACCCTGTATGAGGCCCAGATAGTATAAACAGAGCCCATGTGCTCACATCTTGGATTTTTGGGGAGTGGGGCTGGTGGACACAGCTTTACAATCTGTTCGTCCACCCTCCAATTCATGTTTTCAAAGCTCGGATATCTCACATGGATTGAACAGACCTGGGCAATGAATGGATTTTTTGTTGTTGTTGTCTGTTTCTACCAGGGTACGAACAGTAGTACCTAAAGCTCCCTTTGTGCTTGTGTTTGGGAGCATTGAACCAAATATCTGTCGTTGCCATGCAGTATCTAATAGAATCAAATATATATATAATCTCACGTTCAGTAAATGAGAACTATTTAGTTGTCCCCATGGATGCGAAATAGTGTTTGCACACCCGGTCTGCAGTCAAATTCACTAGTTCTGGGTAACTCTGAAATACTGTTGATCATTTCTCTAGTACTGAATTCAGAATCCTCCTTTCTCCCTTATTTAGCTCTGTGCCTTGTTCTTGTGCTACCTTGACGGCTCAAGGTTATGCAATGCATTTTGTTAGAAAATATCATTAGTATTTTTTAAAATGTAAGCAATCATTACAACATCTACAGACGAATCTTGGGGATAATGTAACATAATCCCCATGGCAATAGGATGCACAAGGCCAATTTGTGTACTTAAACATCAAGTTTGAGTGTGTATACTTAAAAAAAACAAACAGTAGCAGCCATAGAGACACCACGTATAGAATCAGGTTCAGGGACATAATAACGCAAGTGGAGTTTGAAAAACAAGAACCCAAAGCAAACTTTCCTCTGAAGCTGCAGCTCCCAGTAAAAATACCTCACCTGTCAAGCCAGTGTTTTGGCTGGGAGGGATGCTGCCTGAGAATCTGTTTATTACACAAACAGGGAAAAAAGTATTCCTGATTAAGGTCATACCATGTATACATGACATACAGATGGACAGATTGATTCATTTTCATTTATCCAATGAGGCAGCACAGTGTGCAGTGCATGTCTGTTTAGGACAGACTTCAGATCATGATACCAGAGTCTGATTACAAGTGTTTTCTGTGATAAGTAAAGATTGAAAATTCCCATCATTGAAAACTCTTAGGCAATATACTTCCTAATGTCCTATTAAAACTAGAATATATTAAATTTGGACAAGCTTTGATAAATATGTGGACAGGAGTGGTTGAGTAAGGATTGTTGACTTGTATTTCCAAAAGGCTTTGACAGAGTCCTTTACCAAGGACCTCCCACCCTAAGTTAGGAGTCATGAAATAAAAGGAGAGGTTCTCTTATGAATCAATAATGGACTAAAGGACAGAAAGCAGAAACTAGGAAAAAATGGTAAGTTCTACCAATGGGAGGGTGTAAATAGTGAGCTCCCAGAAAGACATGTATTAGGAATTATGTTTTTCATAATTAGAATTAGAACTGAGCAATGAAGTGGCCAAGTTTGTTGATGACACCAAATTATTTAAGGTGGTTAAAACATAAATGGATTGCAAGGAGCTCCGAGGGATCTCTCAAAATTAGGAGAATGAGCATAAAAGTTGCAATGGTGATTCAGTATAACCTAATTTAAAGTGAAGCACATTGGCATAAGAACAAATCCCCCTAATTTTTTGTGTAAGCTGATAGAATTTGGGCTTGTGGTCACTGACCAAGAAAGAGATCTGGGTTGGTGGTGGACAGTTTGATGAAAATGTCAAATCAGTGTGCAGCTATTGTGAAAAATGCAAACTTTGAGTTAGGTATACATCAAAAAGGAATGGAAAACAAAGCTCTGAAGATCATCTCTCTTTTCCTAATAACTAACTCTCTGTGTTTACAACAATTAAAACCATAAAATACAATACGAAATTATATTAAAGTCTAAGGTTTACATCTACAGCATAAAATAAAAGTAAAAACAAAAATAATACCTACTAGTAATGCAAAACTTTAAAATACAGATTTAATACAGCAGAAACTACAGGGTAAACAACCTTGGAAAGGTGGTATTCCAGGGTGCAATCTCTCCTGTTTCCTCTGTAGCCTCCTTCCTTCCCCCAGGTGGCTAGGTGGCTGAAAACAGCCACCTACTGAAAATGTAAAATAGGAAGTGTGGGGAGGTGGAAATTGCCTTTGCCACACCCCCAGCTGTGCACAGGATGTCTGTCGCTTTCAGGAATCATGAATGGATTGTACCCTAAATTACTGCAGCTCTTTAAGATGCTACTAGGCATTTGAAAAAAAAAATATTTTTCATATGTAAGGTACAATATACAATATGTAAAGTACAATATAACACCTCTTTTTATGGTATTGTACTATTTGTCTAAAGCAGCCTTTTCTAGTCGTGCATCCTCTAGATGTATTGTGCAGCTCCCATAATCTCCAGCCAGCATGGCTGGATGGGGATGAGTAGCAAACACATCAAGAGGCACCATGATGGTGAGTGCTGAACTAAAGGCATAACTCCAGCATATCCAAGTGGTTTTATTGCAACAGTTTGCCTTTATGTTTATTTATACATACTTGCATACATATACATGCAAGTATGCATGCTTACATAGATAGATATAGATAGTACTTAGCAGTAATCTATCTCCAGCATTATTTGCATTTTCATTCTTTAATTCCAACCTGGCTCAGAAAGATGAAAGACTGGAACATTTTTCCCCAAGAACCTTAGGAAAAGTGTTTGGCCAAAGGCATTTTATATGCAAGCATAATTTAATCAGTGATGATTGAGGCCACATTGGGGATGGGAGTGGGGAGTGTATTTTAAGTGCCATCCCCAGGCTGACATATGAAGTTCAGTTTCAGCTTCATAGTCATTAAAAGAGAACCTGTCTCACCTCAAAGGGATTTACAGAAAGACTAACTGAAAGGATTCCCACTGCTTTTTGGTTAATTAAAATGGACATATTTTGGTTTCTTTCATTTTTTTTCAATAGGAATAAGTTAAGGAGCAATTCCCAGTTATGCTATTCAATCCACCTTTGTCAGTTAGCTTTGTGAGGAAATATTTGGGTCTGTCCCCCTGCTTCCCAACATACTTTGATTGCATTAGGATAGCAGCACTGCTCTGATACCCCAAAGTTGATGTGCATGCTATTGTAATTAATTTCACAAACTTTTATGGAATGGGAGAAGCTGTCCTTATGGTTTGTAGATTAGTTCTTCTTACACTTGCCAGGAAATAAGTCCTTTGCACCTGTACCATAAGCTGATGTCAAGTCAGCAGGAAATCTTCTATTAGGCTGTTGCTGAAATTGAAGATATACCATAGTGGATGCTCCATCTTTCCATGCATATTGCAAAACAGCAGGCTGTCCAGCTGTCTGATAGTTGTTTGCAGTTAATCTTATGAAGTCATGCATTACATATGAGCTAACGTTTACATAGGTGTTTCTGTGCAATTCAGTTCTAAGTCTACAAGAAGATCCTTCTTTTTTAAAAAGAGGTAATATTACCTTTATAATAGGGAACTATTAGAAGAGCTTATTAAAATTTAAACTTTTAGCACTTGTTATCTGAATGGTGTGTAGTCTTAAATGTGTTTGTCTGTATTCTCACTGAATTGGTCTGGTTTATTATAGCTCATCAAAAAGCTAAACATTCCACTGAAACCTTACAGTAAACTTTTCTGTTATGATCTCTGCATTTCCAAATGAATGTGGTTTGGATAATGGAAAAGACTTTGTTAAATGTAATTCATTTCAAAGCATTTTGAGAGCATGTTATTATTTATGCCATCCTTTAAAGAAAGTTCCCATTAAAATAACCTGGATAACAGTAGAATAGAAAGTGACATTTACTGCACCTTATTAGTCCACCAGTTTCAACCCCAACAACATTTGAAAGAAACTAATTTATCTGGATTTATAACATTTGATGTGGAACGAAGGACTTGAACCATTTAACCGCTGTTGCAATCCTAGTCTCATTTTCCTTGGAGTAAGTCCCATTCTGAGTAGTTATGTACAAGACTGCACTGAATGATCGCAGTCTTGTGCTTGCTTGCTTGCATATAAGCTCCACTTTAACATTGTGGAACTTTCCAGTAAACATTCATGGCATTGTACTGTCCATCTTTGATAGTTTGGTTTCCCTGATGACTGAAAT